CATTATATGGTAAGTAATAAATGATGCAAGACGATATGTCGAGGTTTTTGAGTGACACAGAATGCACAATTGGTCCCATAATCGATAACATATTACTTCGCAGATACAAATTCTCTAATTTACTGTTATTTTCAAACAGACTTGATGGTATTACATTGATTCTGTTGTAGGATAAGTCCAGTGTTCTTAATACTTTTAAGTTCGCAAATGCTTTTTCATGTATGTTTGTGATTACATTATATTTTAAATCCAATGTTTCCACTTTGAGGAGGTTGCTGAAATCATGTTGACGAATTCCATCAATTCGGTTATAAGCTAGAGAAATCATGGCAAAGTCTCCTTGAAATGACTGGGGAACATCAGTTAGACTACGTTCTGAGCAGTAGGCGAAGGTGCCTCTGAATAAAAACTCGACACACAAACACGAAGCAGGACATCTTGAAAAAGTCGTGGATGTCGAAACACTCGAAGGACCAATACACACCGAAAGGATAAGAATTGTCAAGGCAGAGTTGAATTTCTTTGTCATTCCAGGTACAGAAATCCTTGGAGACGCCATCTAAATGGGAAACAGATAAATACTTTATTTCAAATAATATCCATCACACTAATGATTTCAAATCAACTTTTAATGTGAAAGCAATTATTTCCTTATCCTGTGCAGTGAACAAATCCGTGGCTTGTATTTTACACCTCCGGGATCTAGTGTCGTTGTAGGTCTTTCAGTAGTGGGTGGGCGACCGGGGTTCGAGTCCTGGCAGGGGTCCAAGACCTTTCTTTTCATCGTTATGACCGCACCGGTCCTGGGGCTCACAGTGGCTGCCGGGGACCTTTTCCCGAGGTTAAAGTGACCTGTCTCTATACGGTGGTGAGGATAGGAATTCTCAGGCTTTTACGGCGTGGTTGTCAGACTCATTGGCAAGTCGGATTTTACAGTAATTAAGGCAAAAATATGATGGTAGGATGATCCTGTAGCAGGAATTAGCCTGCTGAAGAAAGTATAATCTACGGGCCTACATTTTGGTAGATAAATCTGGTAGGCAGAGGTCGAATAGGGGACCATTACGAAAAAGTCGTGTAAATAATTTAAATGGAATTGTGTTGATGGCTGTCTTCTGGTATGTCAGTCTGATAGAAGATTACCAACGTTTAAGAGGTACTTACTGTCTCCACTATCAGGTCGATGTAGGTAGTAAGCAACTCAGAAACGTCAGTAAACTTCTACCAGGGTGCACGACGCAGTAACCCAGAAGACATCTAACTCGCAGCCATGAGAACCTCAAATCTCACCTTGATTGATATAAATTACATTGATCTGGCTCAAGACGAAGTGTAACAGTGGTCTAACAGAAGGGAGCCTTCGAGTTAGTTAATTTCTCGAATTATTTATCGACGTTTTTGCAACGGCAAATGTTTTGTAACGTCGATTTTAAAAATTTTAAGCCCTGTTGTAATTTAATAATCTTTGTGGTCTATGGCAGTGGTATTCAACCTGGGGTACGCGAAGACATCTTACGGGGGTACGTGAAATTTAAGAAAGAAATATTATAAACACTGAATAATCAGTAATGTAATTTATTTATTTTATGTGTAGATTATATACTATGTATAACTTGAATTATACATCAACAACTTTGGGGGTACAAAGTCGAAGAGAAATTATATCTGGGGGTACGCGAACAAAAACCACTGGTCTATGGGACATTTTGAACACAGCACTTAATTTTATAAACCAATCCCTCTAAAACATAAAATAATACTTGCCATTAGTCTGAATGTTGGCTGTGATGCCCGTTGTACCAAAAGCAGTTGTGTTATCAGACCGTGTACTCAGGCTATATGGCCCTGACTCTTGTATTTAATCCGCAATCTTCCTCTGTGTATCCCAGTGTACACAAACCACTTTAGATATCTTGCATAGACACCATGACGCACAGTCTAAGGGATTCACATGTAAGGTTATGAAACTAATGTGTAAACATACATTTTACCGTGTGGTTTATTTAAAGACGTGTGTTGCCAACCGATTAGCTGACGTGTATATTCAGTTTGAATATTATGTACCTTAATTCACCCCCCCCCCCAAAAAAAAAGCGTATTTTAAAAGGTAATGTAATGTTTTATAGGTAACAACAATGCCGAGTAAACAGATGACGTTTCGTAGGTAACAAAAATGCTTGAATACTTAACTTGAATTAGTTACGCTTAAGATGGGTTTGTGGTTGATGAAAGTAATGAAATGTAATGTAACGTTTCCTAGGTAACATAACAATGAAGTTACACTTTTTCGTAACACATTTTTGCCGAATGACCCTTCCTCATAGACGTATTTACGTCAAAAAATTCAAATTACAGTAAATATCGGTTAATCGGGGTAGCCGTTTATTTGGGACAAATCTTAAAGAACAAACCTTTTTAACTCTTTACGTGGAACTTCGCATAATTTGTCCAAGATGTTCTAGTCCCGATGTGTCCAAATTAACCGGAATCCACTGAATTACTGAAGAAGTTTCCGGAGGAATATTTGGAAAAAAAAAAATTTACAGTGGAACCACGGTTCCGGAGAATTTGACGTAAATACGTCTCTGTATTTAAATTATATTTACGTCTCTGTAATGTAATGTTTTCTTCAATGTCATCCATCTTGTTACGAAAGCGGATTGTTGACGGCAGTAATGTAACACAACAATGCCGAGTAAACAGATGACGTTTGCTAGGTAACATAACAATGCACGCAAGCTAACCATTGTTATCGGTCCATATTTACACATTGTTGATATGGATCTTACACATTTTCCTTTCACTTTTTCTCGGAATGGCCCTTCCATATAGACGTATTTACGTCAAAAAAACTAATTGCTAGCGTGTTTGAAAAGGAAACATATGAATAACTTGGATCGAACATGTTAATTCATATAATACATATCAAAAAGATTATGGTTTTTATCAGGGCATAAAAGGTAAGTTCTTTACAAAACCATATTCATGTAACACCTCACTGGACGTTGATTGCACAGGAGTTGGTGTATTATATTGGGCAATTAGCTTTTATGTCCACTGGTCTGATTGCCGTCGTAGATGTGAATATTTTGCTCACAGATATGTAAACCCTCTGAACATCTTATATCGGTCACGCATGTGTTCTTGTGTTAGGTGTACCACAGCTATCGAACAGATAACTTATCTTTAAAATCACGCATGTGTTCTTGTCTTAGGTGTACCACGGCTATCGAACAGATAACTTATCTTTAAATGTATTTCATTTCCTCCTTTGTAGATTCTTTTTTCTAAAATTCAACACAAAACTTTGCCGACGTTCTTCGTATTTGGGAGACCCTGGGTAAAATCTTTGACACGGAGACAGGCTATCCTGACTCAGGTTTTCCTCAGTCCTTCTAGCCTGAGCAGTGTCTTAAATTATTCCAGGAACTCTTTCTTCCATAACCTCCCCAGTTTATCGTTCATTCACTTAACATTTATCATTCGACGCAGTGACAGCGTCGATAATGAAATCATCAATAAATAAATAAATCTACGAATTAGGTCAATAGCTTAGCCTGTTACGACTTCATGTTCTCCTTTCTTGTACATTTAAAAATAATTTCGTGAATTACGACCTAAAACGTTCTGTGCATTTTATTCTTTAAAACATAATTACAAGACAACAAAATAAAGGATTTAGAAATTATTTATTACGCAATTTGTACAGTATATGATGCTTTTAATTAAATAATGTGATCTTCTATAAAAATATTGGAAAGTTACGAATGCCTGTCTAATTTTAATTTACATACACCTTTGTTTTCCTTATTTGCAACTGTATTCGTTATCACAATTGAAAGATAAGATTACATATTGATAGCTGAAACTACGTACCGAAATAAAACATTTAAAATGAGTTATTGGAATCTAAATATTTTGATCTTAATTGTTGGTGAATCCTCAGACATAGAGAAATAACTTCCCTATGAAAAGATTCAAATCTGACCCAGCCATGTCCATAACTTAAACATTCCTTTGCTGAAAGAGATGGAATTCTCCTCTTTTACCCGTTTACCCGGGATTTCTTAATTCAAAATCGTTTCAAATATAACTTTAAAACATTTACACAGTTTGATCCCTGCTTGGAGCATACAATTTGCTATGCACAGTGTCCCACGAATTTATGTCAATGTTTCAGATATTCTTTCTTTGAAATTATAATTAACTAAGTCTACTGAGCAGTCATTCTTACAAAGGTTCTTATCTTATAGATAAGGAGCTGCCTGTACAGTATAACTTAGCACTGTTAAGTGATCTCATACATCGAGTAGACAAAATAGTAAGAACGAAAATCTGTAAACCAATGTGGAATATGTAATAACGGAAATCTGTAAACCAATGTGGAATATGTATTTACATTTCTCGTGGGTTCAGAGTTCGTAGCGTGACAATTACAATGTGTTTCGCCATAATTTAATTAAATATGTAACTCATTCAATTACATTATCTAATAATGCATCTAACACTCATTACGGACCATTTATCATCTGAGATCTGAGGTTATATACAGACGCGTTATCCTGCGTTGTGACTCCGTGCAGTCTTGTGGAAATTAATTCTTCATCCTTTGATGTTAATTAGTTGGTGCGTTTACATACAACCACATTTGGTTTGCAAGTGGTAACTGTAACCCACCCTCCCCTGTTTTGTGTCAGTGGTGACAATTGTATATGGATCTCACTAGTAAATCTCTTGGATTTTTCGCCATTAGATGGTTCTGCATCGTCTTTTGTAGTGGTGGTAAGGGATGTATCCTCCGCAACCGATGATCTGAATTCTGACACATTCACGAGTTGTCTCATTGGCCTCGGGGTCTTTACTGGTGGTCTCGCCCTCGTCGGTTTATCATCTATGTTGATTCTCGTGTTTTTCAGTCTGCGGGGATGTTCTGTTGGAGATGAATTCTGCTCATCGGAAGTCTTACGAAGTAATCTCGATCTTACATAACCGTCTGCTTCATGCGTTTCGGATAAATGTCCATCCACGAGTTGTCCCATTGGCCTCTGGGTCTTTACTGGTGGTCTCACTCTCGTCGGTTTATCATCTATGTTGATTCTCGTGTTTCTCAGTCTGCGGGGATGTTCTGTTGGAGATGAATTCTGCTCATCGGAAGTCTTACGAAAAAATCTCGGTCTCTCATAACCGTCTGCTTCATGCGTTTCGGATAAATGTTCATCATAAATGGTCTCTAGCAATGGACTCGATGGCGTAAGCGGTGGTGTATCATCAGGTATCAATGTTAAGTAATCCCCTTCTCCTTCAAGTTGTAAAGTTTTAAGACGTTCGGGAAAAACGGGAGGTGCAGGTGGTAAGTTTTTTATCTCTGTTTGTTGTCTAGAGTAGACCAGAGAATTAGGTGTCAAATAATCATCCTCTGACGTTGTATCTCCCGGATGTTTTTCGCTCACTGGGGGCGAAGGTAGTGGACGACGATACACAAATGTTTCCACAGGCTCTCTCCTTTCTGGTTTTTGCCTTATGTTCATGTTCTCATAAATGACGTTTTTATCGCTGTCTCTTCTTTCCTGTATTTTGTTCTTGATTATTTGTCTTGAACAAGCCCATATTAAGAGTGCTATACATAAAACACATATTGAACCAACCAAGACAAATGTGAGAATTACCGTTACATCATACATGAGAATCTTTTGAGCACTTGAAGGGACTGAAGTATCATTATAACCCGTTGAAGCAGGCGTAGTCTTGACATTCTCTTGTGCATCAGCAACTGACTGTAGGTACATGGTTGTTGGGAGAGACGATGAGGAAATTACTTTGAAGTAGTGTCTCAACCAGGAGTCGATCGGTGTCTGGTGAAATGCAGTCATCTGTGTAATGAAATTAGCGTGATAAGATCATAATTTATTTGTATGGCTAATGATAAGTTAGAACAGCCATTTTTGTACCACAGAAATATGTCCTAAAATAAACACTGAAGGTATACATCGTTATACATTGGTTTGTTATATACAGGGTGATTCAAAATGTTAGGGCCAAACTGAAGGAGCGTATAGAGAGACTCAGAGAGAACAACTTTCGAATAGGAATCCATGTCCTCCGAAGTTATCCTGAGTCAGTCGAGGCCATCGAAGGTAGGGACGTCTGGCATTGCTATTCTCGTACTAGCTTGATTTGTTTTTTGTTTTTTTATTAATGTACAAGGATTACATTAGCAATCTTACAAACCAGAGTCGTGCTTCAGAGGTTGATAGTCGCTATGCTGATCAAGGATTTTTCCACATTTTATGGAACCCTAAGATTCATTACAGTATTCACAAGCACCAGACACTTGAACCTGCCCTGAGCCAGTTGAATCCACCCATACCCAGCACATGAAGATCGTGTTTTCTTTGAAAGATGAATATTATTAAACACACCTTCGTATGAACTTCAGATCTCAGTCCAAGCCCTGTTTCTTTCTGTTTTCTATTACAAGACTTCAAATTCAAGTTGCTCCAAGTAAGTAATATGACCGAAGTACGAATATGTTTACGAAAGTCAGTATGGAAACAGATTATTTTCATTCAGTAGGATTATACATTCTTTTGACAATGCGAGTGTACAGTCGAATATCCAAAGATTATCCTGCACAATAAAGTGAGTGAGAATTATACATACTTGCTGTTCATTGACTGTTGCACTTGTTATTATCATAGAGTTTAAGAACATAGAAATCTTGGAGTTCTTGGTGGTGACTACAGCAGACTCCCCCCCCAAAGAGCCCTGTCACTGCATGATTCTATGATCTATTTAAGTTTCTATATTGTCAAAATCACCCCATCCTTGCTAAGATCCACAAACGTTGTCAATCGTTAAGGCACACGACACTGTATACAGTTGGTCTGTCTAAAACCGCCTTCAGGACTGTATCCTATAAGATACTCCACATATGTAGAAGATAAGTTTGCATTGCTGACCAATCGTATTTCTTGTGTAGTGTTTTTTTTAATGCTGTTAGTAATCGATAAAAGACTCTAAAAGATAAAGCGTGGTGAATTATACGAAGAGTAGAAGTACCTGAAATCTCAAAGTTCGTTTTATACTCCGACTTCAGTTCCAAATCAAGCCAAGAGGGGCGTCGAGACGCCAAATGACACGATATTCAAAACCGACGCCGACCGTTGAGACGCCTACAAAAGATTTCACGCGTAGCTTACAAGAGCTTAGTGAAAACACTAGGCAGAACCCTGGCAAATCGACGCCAAGCGTCGCAGCTGCTGCCTTCGCAAGGTCGACTCAAGATTCATGACCCCAGGGAAACCGACGCCGTGCGTCGAGACCCCTATTGTCGTGACAGTGGCACAAGATGCTATCGATACGCCAAGATGACCCAGAAAATCCTCAAGACGATGTGACGCCACTACAAGCTTCGGGAAAACAGTGCAACGATTTTGACAAACCGACGCCGAAAGGCTAATCGTCTAGACCGCGACGCCCTCTCAAGACGCCGTATCTGAAATATATTGAGGATGCCATTGGAAAACCGACACAGATCATAGCGACGCTTGGGGAAGGCATTACATTCACAGCATGTGAGCATTTGGATATTATTGAAAACGACATCGGAAAACCGAATTCAAAATTCAGTCCGTACCGCAAAGGAAACACTATACTTCGCCATTGCGAATATCAGTTTGTTAACTCTATTAAAGGAAATGATCGCTGTTTGCTCTCAGAATCATAAGAACCATAAAAATGTACAGGTATATATTATTAAGCAGATGGGACAGATATTTACCAGTAGGCTTTAAAGGGTTATTGGTCTTCAATTTCTTATTCTTCCAACTGATCGACATTCAGGAAGCTGTTTTGGGAATCTAATGTTTTCCATTCTCGTAATATTATCAATTGGTTTTGTTTGTTCTTATTGATATAATTATTACATTATCTAAGCGTGAGGACAAACAATAACCAAAAACACAGTAGCATTAATAACGGAAGTTTTATAAAATTTACAATTACTCTAAATCAAAAGTGAAAGCTAAATATAGATCATAGTAGTTCGCCAGCACGAGAACACTGTTACTGGATCCAGGTATAATGCGCCGAAGTTGGTAATGGCCGTGATTTGTGCCAACAGCTGTACGTATGGTGGAAAGAATAATGGAGATTGATTTGATATATGTTTTTCATGTTATTTATTATTTCATTGCTTGATGAAAATGTTGGCATTGATTTATGTAACAGTAATACCAATTTTAAATGTGTGATGATGTTAGGAACAGATGTAAGTTAAAAATTTTACTATTTGTTTAATAATTTTTTTGAAGGAACGGGGTTGTTAAATCGTATGGAGGATGAATACGAATTATCTAGGTTAGGAAGATCCCTCAGGAAATTATGTTGAGCACACGTTGAGTGAATCTTCTTTCCGTTTGTTTGTAGTATTATCAACTAATTAATGTTTAATTTCTACAATAAAATGTGTGTTATTATTTTGATACGTTATTGTTTACCATTAACAGTGGAAATTCTGGGAATGACGTGTGTTGCGTAGGTAAGATTTTGAAATGAATATCAACTTCCGAGTCAGTTTTATGAGTATGGTGGCTGTGAACGAATGAAGCAGTGTATTGAATCATGATGACAAGCAGTCATGATTCTGTTTGATTGTATACATAATTGTCGGTTTGTTCGATGTACATTTAAATATTATCATTTTTGTACTTCTGATGAAGTTTGGTATTGTTTGTTCCAAACCAACAAAACCGAATTTATCTGCGAAAGAGTACTGTAGGAGCAGAAACTGTTCTGGGATGTGGTATGATGTTCATCTATGTGCTTTTTTCTTTTACAGTGATATGAGGCCATGAAGTTAGTGCGGCAGGTGGGTTGGGGCCGTGCACTCTTAGTGTTATTAGTGATATGGTTGTTAGTGTTGGTGTTGTTTGCTGCATCACCTGTATTTCGGGTTCCATCATCACCTGAACCAGATTCCCGCACAATTCAGCGCTTAGCACGTGCATTTCATGACCTGGAAGTCCTGAAGAGGCAAAACGCTGAACTCAGAAGCCTCTTCACAGATATTAGTGTTGGGTAAGAAATGGTTCCTCACCACACTTCTTTAAACCGTTGCTTTGTTGCAGCATATAAGTAACTGGTTTGCTCATTGGCTTTACATCTAAGCTTTAAAAATCATTGATTTGATTCAGAAAATTATTATGACTGCATCAAATACCAGATTAATTACAAAGTCTCATACGTGTGTTTTATCTCCATAAGCCACACATCAGCAAAATGACTAGTGTCATGGCAGTTTTGGACTCGACTTACTTCCGAGGGTCAAGTATTTAGGCATTATAGTCATATATCTCACTGTGGTAGGCAAAACTATGCTAGTCTTTCCCATTTCTGAAGCTATTTGATCTATTCTATCATTCGGTATTAAAAATGTGTTGATTCTAAATAACCACCATAATTGATACTGTTATTAAATACACCATTTATCATTCACCCCCAAAGTCAAAACCGTATTTCTTACATTAATTTGAGAACATAGCAGAATGCTCCAATACAGGAACAAATTATTAATTATACTAGTCATTTATGTTGGTGACAGTGTGAACAGAAGCTGTGATATGTTTAACAAAATTTAAACTGCAAACCAGGAATTTTAATCCTTTTCCTCACGAGCATCTTTAGAACAGGGTACCGGAATGTAATAAGTGTTACGGTGACCCGTCACCCAGAATTTAGCGAGTCCTGGCTACGATTAAGATCGATAATAATAATGTTTCTAAATTCTTTTTATTTTGTTCTTTCAGAGATCCGTCTCTGAAGCAAGAGCAGCGAGATGTGTTATTTCAGGACTTGCAGAAAAGGCTGCAGAAAGCAGAACAATTGTTGGAACATTCTCATGACACTGAAAAATTTGGTGGAATTGGTGAGAAAAGCAGTGTATTGCAGTGTTTATTTAAGTCATTTTACTGTGTTTTATGTAAAAAAAAAAAACCAGTTTTGCCCTGAAACAGAGGTATATTATTTTAGCACCCTGTGTCTGTAATTGGAACTTAACTGCGGTGTTGTTATTGCATAAATTACTTGTGGGTTATCGGGACACAGAACGGGAGGGTCGAATATCTGGATTCATATTTAGCTGAGTTCAGACGGTACATCTTGCAGTGAAAGTTTAGGACAGGAAGCTACATAATATGAACTCGGTTACTACGCAGTCTGTGTAAAATTTTGCCTGCTTATTAAATAAGGTGTTTAAAGTTTTGTTTTTATGTGAAGAACAGAACCTAAATGTGCATTATTATTTTTCAGAGCCCCGAGAGGAACCAAGCATACAATATGAGCAGATGAGACGTAAGATTTCAAATGGAGTCCAGGAGATGTGGTACTTTGTCAGTGGAGAACTGAAAAAAATACAAAAGCAAGCTTTGGCACTGTCTCCACAACTTGCTACTAGAATCACTCGAGTGCTTGAGGAAGGCGTTGTCCATAAGAGGTATCATAAGTGGCAGTGTAAAGTGTATTTGCGATTATTGCGCATTAGCTAGTTGGTCGGGTTTAGAGAGTACATCTGAAACTGAACGTAACACTCGGGCTTGGAGCGTGTACGTCATAAATTATTGAGTTACGGAAAATTATTCTTATAGGGCGTTGTTTGCTGTCCTGGAGGCTGCATGTTTGTTTGTTTGCTCCTAATAACTTTCAAACTAGGTAGCAATTTTTTATGTTATCACAGAAATTTACTACTAAATGGCGTAATTATGGCAGGATATATTGTGTAATTATTAATTTATATTTCATTACCTTCTAAACTCACTATATACATTGAAGCATTTGAAGAATAGTATATTTCTTGAGGATTTGAGGTTTTCACAGCGGTGAGCATGAAGATTTCTGTCTTCTGGGTTGTTGTGCTGTGTAATCTGATAGACGTTTACCAACGTTTCGGAGGTCATACTGCCTCCGTCATCAGGGCGATGTGTATGAAGATTTCTGTCTTCTGGGTTGTTGCGCTGTGTAGTCTGGTCGATGTTTACCAACATTTCAGAGGTCATGCTGCCTCCGTCATCAGGGCG